GAGAAATACTGAGACGATGTGTGAGAAAGATACTGAGACAGTGATGTGTGAGAAAGATACTAAGATAGTGATGTGTGAGAAAAATACTGAGACCATGATGTGTGAGAAAGATACTGAGACCGTGATGTGTGGGAAAGATACTGAGACCGTGATGTGTGGGAAAGATACTGAGACAGTGATGTATGAGAAAGATACTGAGTCAGTGATGTGTGAAAAAGGTAGTGAGACAGTGATGTGTGGGAAAGATACTGAGACCGTGATGTGTGGGAAAGATACTGAGACAGTGATGTGTGAGAAAGATGCTGAGACAGTGATGTGTGAGAAAGATGCTGAGACAGTGATGTGTGAGAAAGATACTGAGACAGTGATGTGTGAGAAAGATACTGAGACAGTGATGTGTGAGAAAGATACTGAGACAGTGATGTGTGAGAAAGATACTGAGACAGTGATGTGTGACAAAGATAGTGAGACCGTGATGTGTGAAAAAGATACTAAGACAGTGATGTATGAAAACAATACTGGACAGTGTTGTGTGAAAAAAATACTGAGACATTTGTGTGAGAGAAATGTATCAAGAGGTGGTGCCTGAGAAACTTACCAAGATAGTGGTGTGCAAGAAAGATACTGAGAGAGTGATATACATGACATATACTGCGAGTGGTGTTCAAGAAAGATACTGAGACAGGGGTGTGCAAAATAGATACTGAGCGAGTGGTGTGCGAGAAATATACAGAGAGTGGTGTACAAGAAAGCTAAACTGAGATAGGGGTGTGTGAGAAAGGTACTAACACATAAGTGTACAAGAAAGATACCGCGACTGTGTGAAAAGATCTTGAGACACGAGTGTATGAGAAAGATATCAAGGGGGTGATCTCATATTCAAACACCTGGGTCAAACCTGGGTTAACCTGGCCTGCCCTATTCAGACCTACTAGACCTACAATATGCAAATTAGTAGTAGGTTTGAACCTAACCTCCGGATTAACTGCCCCCACTGAAAACAAACAACAGAGAACAAAGAAGACAGACCTAGGGAAACCTAGGTTTTTCTTACAATACTGTTTCAGCCTGGTTTCAGTAGGAAAAAAAATAAGATGTATACTATGGAGCTGCATGTTCATACTGAGTGTTATATTTTGAAGTGTTAAGAATAACAGCAGCTATTTCTTTTCTTTGCAAGTCTTGTACATGTAAATGCTAAAAAAAAAAAAACTTGCATTTGTTTCACAAATCTTTTTACATCATGTCATTTATAAGTGTGATGAAAATTATATTTATTTATTTCTGTGATTGGTAATAATAATCAGTTTCCCACAACTTACATTTTGGTACAAGTCAATACAATTGTTATTAGTCTCCGTTCGGTCTGTGCGTCTGTCTGTGCGTCTGTGCGTCCGTCCGGAGTCGTATCTCAGAGTCCCTTGGACCGATTCTGTTCATTCTTTGCATGTGCCTAGTACTTTATCTGGGACATATGCACATGCAGTGGTTTAGCGATTCGATTCAAAATGGCCGACTGGCAGCCATCTTGTTTTTTGAAAATGTTGTATTTTGGACATGCTTTGTCAGTTTTCATTCAAATTTAGTACATCGATCATACATGTTAGGATACATGTCCCCAACCATTCGTGAGTTCCTGAGTCTGTCCGTTTGTCCGTCCATCCCTTTGTGCATCAGTCTGTCAATAGTAATATTTCAGAATCCTGTGGACCGATTCCGTTCATTCTTTGCATGTGCCTAGTACCTTATGTGGGACATATGCACATGCAGTGGTTTAGCAATTTGATTCAAAATGGCCGACTGGCAGCCATCTTGTTTTTTGAAAATGTTGTATTTTGGACATGCTTTGTCAGTTGTCATTCAAACTTGGTACATAGATTATACATGTTAGGTTACATGTCCAGTACAATTTATTTCGCAATTGGATCAAAGATGGTCGACTGGCAGGCATCTTGTTTTGTTTTTTTATGCGGTATCTTGGAAGTGCTCTGTCAGTTTTCATTCAAATTTGGCACATACATGTGCTTTATACATGTTACAATGCATGTCCATAATAATTTGTTTCAAAATCTGGTCAAGGATGGCCTTTCTACTATATTTCCACAATTTATGTACCATTTTCATTCGCACATACATCATACATATCAGTGTGTTTCATAATCAGATCAAAGATGGCCAAATAACGGCTGTTTTTATTTTTGGCCATATTACTACTACAACGGAACACGTGTTTTGATGTAAATAAACAATCTGTTGTATACGCCACTTGTTTTTTGTAATTTGATTCAATATGACTGCCCAATGTCCAATTCTTGTGTAAAAGCACTAAATCATATTTTTTTACAAATCCATCTCCTATTAATGGTTTCAATCTAATCTCAATGACTTCATCAGCATCTAATTGATATGTCAGATCACAAAATTTGGGACGGGGACTGTGTCATTAACAATGACTTGTTGTTATTCAATTTATCTGGAACTAATTACAGACGTGATGGTTTGCTATATTTTGTCATTGAATGTGAATCAAGTGATACCATAAACCACAGTCCCTCAACACCTGTGCATAAACCCTCTTTAAACCCTATATAGTAAATTAATGTTTGAAACAGAACAGGGAAAAAATGCACTAGAATTTTAATGAGCAGCTTCTTAGGATAAATTACTTACGTTATTATATATATATAATCAGTAAAATATGTTTATCCATGGAGCGAACTGGTACATTTTGTCCGCAACCAGTACGGTCAGTTTTGTGCCCATGTCAGTTCATAAATTCATAGAACACATTTTTTGATTAAGTTTGTAAAGTCTGTGAGACTGCGAGTTATCAAAATATGATGAAAGTATTACAAATGTAAATCGATAATGGCAACATTTTTTTTCTACGAAGGCATCTGAAAACCACAGTCCCTCTATAACTGTGTCAAAACTAAAGTCGGGGCTATCGCTACGACTCTGGCGCTACGACCACCGTAACATTGTCAGCTGACAGCATTGCGGGGAATTACGGGTATTTACCGCTGCCGATATCTTACTTTTCTGTGACAAAATGCACACATTTTGAACCCCCGGTTAATTAAAAATAAACGATTATTTTAGAAAATACATCGAAGCACAGTGCCTTGTGGGAGTGTGGGCGAAGTAGGCAGCGAGGTGTTGTTTTTAAACACCGCAGAAAATCATGCACTCAACGCAGCCATCTTGGTTACCTCAATCAGAATTTCTTCTTGTCACCCAGCATGCATCGATTGCGATATCGCAACGTGCACTGTGTCGCCTTGGGCGACGGCCCTAGGTACAAGGCACTCTATGAATAAGGTATTTTCAGAGGTCAGGGTTCGTCTTTTATAAGCAGTCTCATCTGCAGATGAATAGCCTTAAATAATCAGCGCGAGTCCATTTAATTTAATTTTCTGTTTTGATACTTCGTGTCACTGGCAATTGAATAAGAAAAACTGCAAATAACCGATGTGTAGCAAATCGAAATAAATTTTCATAGTGTACGCTGCATTTGTTTTTCCGGATTTTGTGATGCTGCACTCCTGAAAGAACTGTTTGAAAATTGAACGCGCAACAGTAGTAAAGGCTTGAACACAATAGCGCAAGTCTCAAGTGCAACTTTGTATCAACAAATGTTTGTATTCTGATACTTATTAGCTGTCAGAGACACATATCAATTGTCCAGCCCAATGAAAAGTCTGATTCACGTCCTCAATTTGCTACTCGAGCATAACAGTTTATCAAAACAAAACAATTTATTCAGCACGCTGTTCACCGATATATGAAAGAGTGTTTTTTAGGCAAGACACACGATAAAATGACTACTGTACACCAATAAATCAACACATTTTAGAGACAACTATCTAGTCTTCAAAAAGCAATGTAAACTCTGTCAATCCTAAAAATAAACAACAGCTTGAATGAGGTGTGAATGAGATCGTTTCGAACTGCAGTTTTTATGCAAATTCGTGCGGTCCTGAACCGCACTGTCTATTGTTTAAACTTCCAAACTGCAAAACTGAGTTTTGTTCGGGCAGTTTGGGTTTTCGTAGGTTTGACCCGCATGTTTGAATATGAGATCACCCCCTTGAAGACAGTTGTGTCTGAGAAAGATACCGAAACAGGGATGTACAAAAAAGCTACTGAGACAGGGGTGTACAAGAAAGATACTGAGAAAGTGGTGTACGAGAAACAGACCAAAACCGTGATGTGCTGGAAACAGACTGAGACAGTGGTGTATGATAATGATACTGAGACAGTGGTGTGCGAGAAAGATACCGAAACAGGGATGTACAAAAAAGATACTGAGACAGGGGTGTACGAGAAAGATACTGAGACAGGGGTGTGCGAGAAAGATACTGAGACAGGGATGTACAAAAAAGATACTGAGACAGGGGTGTACGAGAAAGATACTGAGAGAGTGGTGTACGAGAAACAGACCAAAACCGTGATGTGCTGGAAACAGACTGAGACAGTTGTGTGTGAGAAAGCTTCAAGATACTGAGACAGTGGTATGTAAGAAAGATACTGAAATAATGCATGCACATTCACAAGACAGAGCATCTGCAACTGTCACTTTATTAGTCCCCGTTCGGACGCAGTCCGAAAACGGGGACTTATGTTTTGCCCTGTGTGCGTCCGTCCGTCCGTGATCACCTGTATCTCGAACATGCATGGACCGATTAAGTTCAAACTTCACTCATACATCACACATTATATGGGACATATGCACATGCATTTTTTTCATGATCCGATTAACGATAGCCGAATAGCGGCTATTTTAAGGCCGAAAATGCATCAAAATCGCACATTTTCACAATTCCGGACCCAGATCTCAGTTATGCATGGATGGATTTTGTTCAAATTTGGTACATACATTAAACATAATAGTACCTTGATGCACGTCTTTTTTTTTTTTCGGATCAAGTTCGAAATGGCCGACTGGCGGCCATTTTGTTAAAGAATTCAGTTCTGGATCCGTATCCAAGACATGTCTGGATTGATCAAGTTCAAACTTCACACACACATGGTACATCATGTCACAAATAGATATGTGCATTTGTTTCATGATCTGCTTAA